TATATTTTTCTATAAGCTCTACAATTATTAAATTTGTACATTTGAATAAATAATGAAATTCGTCGCCTAGATCATTTTTACATAGAGTGCATTTTTGGTCTAGTTTTTGAATATTATGCCACCTACCCGTTTCAATGGGAAATTTCATATTAGAACATCTAAACTTACATAATATTGACCTGTTTTTTCAGAAAGGCGAGTCAAATAAGTTTCAAGTTCATGTTTCTTCTTAAAGTTAACATAGAGTTCACCTCGAGAAGAATTTTGAATGTTTGCATGCCATCTTTGTAAAAATTGATCAATAAACATTGAGGGCCTGTATCGCTCACCTGAATATTTAAGCAGTCATAGCAAATATTCTCATTTAATAATATATTGTACTACAAATTTGTCACTCGCAAACTTTGTTGGCTCCATCTGTTGAAAGTCCCAGTCAAATATTATTAAAAGATTTTATGCTTTTTTGCCATCGTTCTTCTTCAAATATTATAATTTTATGCCTTTCGATTTTTCATCAGAAGTCGCTCGATGTTTTTGACATATTTGACATCTGTGACCTTGAAAAAGGTCAAAGTCATTTTCATTCTCAAACTTTGTTAGGCTCTATCTCAAGAAGCCACAAGGCAAATATGAAGGTTCTACACCTTTTAGTTCTTCAAAAGTCGTTGAAAGAGTTTGGCATATTTGACCACTGTGATTTTGAAAGGAGGTCAAGGTAATTTTCATTCTCAAACCTTGTCAGGCTCTATCCAAGGAAGCCACCAGCCAATTTTGAAGATTATATTCCTTTTAGTTCTTAAGAAGAAGTCGTTTGAAGTGTTTGACATATTTGACTGCTGTGACCTTGAAAGGAGGTCAAAGTCATTTTTTATATTACGATACACAGAAAAAAATGGTTTTTTGGCTTGCTCACAAAGCTTCTGTTTACATTTCAAAAAGCTACCATTGTAATTAAATGTCACACCCAGATAGCTAAAATTGTCCACTTCTTCTTCAACTTTACCGTTAATTCTAAATACATTGTTATTATTAGATTTGCGTTTACAGAATACAAATATTTTTGATTCTTCACATTAACTTTTAATTTCCATATATCAAAGTATTTCTGAAAAACGGTCAGAGCATTTCGCAAACCTTCAGCAGAATCAGAAAGAAGACTTGTATTGTCAGCAATTAATAACAGGACAAAAAGATCCACAAACATATTTAGCTCAGTCTGAAATTTATCTTTCAATTGTTCTAAGGGAAGTGAACTATTGGCTCTAAAAAAGTCTTCCATGTCATTAATGTAGATTGAAAATAAAAACGGGGAAATATTTTCGACCTGCCTTACACCAACTAGACAAGGAAATAACTCAGACTGGGTGTTTTTTAATTCTACACATGATTTTATATTTTCATATTTTCATACATGTTTTTGATAATAGAAAAGCATTTGCCTCTAAATTTGCTTTTATATAATTTTCTCCAAACCGTATCAAACGCTTTTCTAAAATCGATAAAAAACATATACAGTTTTTTGTTACTGGCCAAATATATAACAGCGTGTGCAATACAAAATTATTGTCAACCGTGGAGTGACCTTTAAGGAAACCTGCTTGATAAGGAGAGATTATATTATGTTTATCTGAGTAGTCATTAAGCCTGTTGTTCAAAATATGTGTAAACAGTTTCCCGAGACAACTTATCAGTGTGATACCCCGGTAATTGTCTAGGTGTTTAGGGTCACCCTTTTTCTTATAAATTGGTTTTATTATCCCAATTGTCCAGGATCCAGGGGTCACTCCAGAGTTAAGAACAAGGTTAAACAGTTAACATATTACTAGACGTGCTTCATTAGGTAGATATTTGATATTTTCGTTCAAAACCTGATCGATACCCGGTGACTTACCACTTTTGGCTCCTTGATACTTTTATTTACTTCATCAAGCGTAATTTCCCTATTTCGATCATCATTATCGTCATCATCATCATCATTTAACTCTTTAAAAAGGTTACATATAGGACATCTAATGAAATTTCATTATCTTTGTTTTTCGTCATAGATTTATTTTTAAGAACTTTCCAAAATTTCCCTGGATTGTGTTTGGTCGACGGGCATAAGTTGTGCGCACATTTCGATATATACTCTTTAAAACTATTGTTTAATTATTTCCGGTATGATTTAGCACATTTGTTCATTTCATTCTTACTTTCATTACATTTGCTTAAGCTGTGCCTTGATCGACTCTTGTTAAATGCAGATCTAGCAGTATTACATTTCTTGTTAAACCATGGTTTATTTTTAGATGTTACTTTAGGTTTTGGCCTGTTACCAGCGCTTACATACGTTTTAACCCCATAGTTTTCCAAGCCGTGTCTAGCATAACATTACAAAATTTTGAAACTATTTCATCAACTTTTTTTTTCAACAAGATTGTTGTAACTCAAAGTATCTATCCGGTCACTTATTTCATTCATTGTATGTATCACATCATCAATCGACTCAGTGTATTGGTTGCTTTTACTATGTTCCCATCTTACATATTCACCTGTTTCGACTCATCAGAATTTTTTCCCGTAACTTTAGGTTTATAACCAATAAAAAAATTCAATCGACAGTGAACATCTGAGAACATTGGATTATAATCACAAATTTCAAAATCAACAATTAACTATTAGCTATATCAACATTAAACAGTAGGTAGTCAACGACACTCACTCCTTTACAGGTGACCTTACTAACACCTTTGTCTTTGTGGAGACGACCATTGCCTATGAATAACGAACATCGTTTGCACATATCAATTAATCTTAAGCCATACTTAATAGCGCGACCTTTATCTTCGTTAACTCGATCGATAGACACATTACAGGACACCAGCCTCTGGCAAGCGTGGATATCCTCTACTTCAGTGGTGTCAATATTAAGGATATCAATAAGGTCCTCATCAGGTAAAACGTAATCAATTAATGTGCTGGTACGACCATTAAAATCACCCTCCAACAAAACATTTGAGGTGTCTATAGAAAAGCTGGCTAATTCATTTTCTATCTCAGAAAAAGACTCCTCTGAT